TAATAAAAAAATTATACTAATGAAAAAAATAAAAATAAAAGTTTAATTTTTGTAGTTTTTTTTGCATATTTTAAGAATTTTTAGAGCATATTTTGTCAGATTTTAATGCATATTTAATAGTTTTTAAGTGCATTAAATTCACAGCCCTGGTCATAATATTACAAAACTGCTTTTCATAATTTTAACAAAATCAAATAAATTGTTGTGAAAGATTAATGTGAATGTGATAGTTAGTTAACTAACACAAGTTGATATGAGATAAGAAATTGTAATTAATTAGTTTTATATAAAAATAAATAAATAAATATACATTATTTTATTTTCAGGAACCCGGCAAGTGCATACTATAGAATTTTATTGGCAAATGCAGCTACAAGTGCATTACGTCTTCACCAACGTTTGCCAGCTATGCAAATTTCTTTACAGTTCCTGACACAATTATTCAAAGAAGACAGCTGTCATTACCTATTGTACTCGGTGATATTTTTATATGTGTCGCCTAATATCCGTATCCTTTAAATATTCAACATATTTTTAAAATCTTATAAATGTATATAATATTTTTAATTTAAATTTATGTTGCAATTTAATATTTACCTTAACATAGATTTATTTCAGTTGTAATCCTGCCAGTATTTTTATTTTCAACTGTGCACTTTGCAAGCTATTCCYTAACTTTACTTGATGTAAGTGTAATATTGTTTCATTATTAAATCTATTTTAAGAATAAATCACTAAACATATAAAATTTATTTTTCAGCTTCTTGGTCAAAACGCATGGTGGGGTGCTCGGCTATTGATATCTTTGGTTGAGTTCCAATCGCGAAGTATCTTGCGCCTTATTGCCTTCTCTGAAATCTTAGTTATGCCACTGACATTATTCATGTCATTTTTTGGCCGCTCTGGATTGTTGTCTATTGTGTTCTACTATCATTTYCTCACATTACGATATGCTTCACAACGTAATCCACACACAAGACTCATGTTTTCTGATCTTCGTGTAGCAGCTGAAAATTTTGCWAACAAATCAGGCACACCATCTTTTTTGCGATCTGCTATTTTATCGGGTATCGCTACCATTAGTCGGATGGCTCCCGCAGTGCCACAAAATTAATAATCTATGACTTATTCATTGTCATATTTTTATTTAAATGCATGTTGGTGGGATTTTTCTAACACATGTTTCATTAGACTTAGAGATATAGGATGCCATTTGGATACACATACCAAATGTATGAGAAATATTGCTTGGATTTTTATGTTTATTTATTATTATTGTTTTATTTTATTTGGTTCCGGTTCTTCAATATAAAATAAAATAAATATTCATATTGTATTTTAGTATTTACTGATTATATACAATCATCTGTGTTTATAGTATTTTAATTGTAATTTAAAGTATTTCTATATATTTTWATTTTAAATATGTTTAACTTAAAGATTTTAATAATTGCCTTTTTGTTTAAAAAATGCATTTGAACAATTTTAATTTGAATTACTTTAAAATATGTTTACTTTAATGTGYGCATAGAGACTAAATGGTACATCCCTTTTATGAATTAAAAACTAACCATATTAAATTAAAACATTTTTTTCTTAATTTGTAATTCTTCTGTTATTTAAGAAAAAAGTTTTTTTTCATTAAAATAGTATTATAATTTATAAATGATTTTGTACTCACCAAATAAATAAGATTATATTAATTTATCGGCTATATAAAAAATTAATGMATTTATTTTGACTGACAAGTACAACTTTTAATATTGTTTATGGATAAAAATCAAAAAATAATTTAATTTAATTTTCTGGAACTTTCTACTCTACAAGGTATATTTATAGTATTTTTCTCCTTTAAAATATGATTCTAAATTTTTAACTCTTGTGTTTAATTAATCACAAATTTTAAATTTAAAAAAGTAAAAAATATATACACTCATATATCTATAACATTGCCAAATAAAACTCAATTTAATTTGTATAATGAATTGTATGTATTGAAGTATATTATTATTGTTTATTAAGTTTATTATATGTGTACAGTACACACTACACTGTAGGTATACCTTGGTACTCGAATATAATATTTTGTGTTAGATGCAATGTAAAGCAATTATTTAATTAAATTATATTTTAAGCACTTAGTTTACTTTATTTATGTTTCAAACTCACAAACAGTAATACATTAAAATTAGTTTAATAAAAATCATTGTTTTTTTGTAAATACAAATTTTGGCCTGAATAAAATTAAGGTTTTGGTTAATATAATATATTCATTGTTAATGTTTATGCCTTCATTTTAGTGGTGTGAAAATTATGAAACATATATTTAAAAAAATTGTTTAGAATTTCAATGCTTCTAGAAATCATCATTCATTAGTTCATTACTTATGATATGTAATTGTTTACTCATAATATTATAATGAGAAATATCTGAAAATGTATTAATCTTAATTAGTTATAATAAAATATTAATGAAAACATGTCATTTAAAAAGAACTTAAAACTAATATTTTATTACACGTTTTTGATTATTTTACTCATTACAATTGTGTATTTGTTTGAGATTACACATTCTTTATTAACAAACATACTCATTTGTATTTATACTTTTTTATTATGATCAAGTCTGTTGA